CAATCGCCTTCCCCAAATAGCCAGCACTGCTTTGGCCTTCTTCCCCCATCAGAGGCCTGGGTATCTGCCCTTCTTTCCTGTCATCTTGTAATCATCAGGTTTCAGAAGTTCAAATGCCAAGAACATCAGCACCTCCAGGAGCTCCATCCGCACTTAATACAGCAGGAAGAAAACGACCAGCTTCTCAGATCCAAGTGACAGTCCTTGCGTCTTCTGCATTTATTGCAAAAGCAGGAGGCAGTGCTGCTCTTTTGCCGTTGCACTTTTCTCAGATCTCGCAGATCAGCAGCACTGGAAAATAAGCTGCGAGGGGCAGCGCTTGACTTCCTCTGGGTTCACATGGGCCATGTGCTCCTTCTACGCTGGGTCCATGGGCCCTTTCAAAGCAAGGGATTCTGGACACATTGGATTGCCACTGGAGTTTTCATGCTTCCCATTTTCCAAAGAGGACAGGTAGATACTAGTTGTGACAATGAATTGCTCTAGAGAGCCTACTTTTTCATGTCAGAAACCATTTTTATTTATTTTAAAAGCAAAAATAGCACCCTCAGATTGATTAAAACCCCACCCTTCCCACCAAAATCCCAGTTGTAACACATATAAACAACTAATCCACTCTTGTGAAACTTCACTATGAGACATTTTAATGGAATAGTAGATGTTTGCATGTGCTACGTGATCAAAATGATATCTATCCTATAGTTCATGCCAGAGGACAGTTATGATGAAAGAAGTTGTACATCAGACATGACTCAGCAAAATACTGTGCAACATTGCCCTTAAAGTACACAAGGAATCCTATTTAAGTCATGGGAGCTACACTGAACCTTAAAATAGGCTTCATTCTTGCATATCTTGCAAGTCTGGGGACTGTATGCACAAACAGTGAAATTACAGACCCACAGCTGAAAATCCCTAAATCTCTGTCTATGCAAGACAGGTGAAACCCTACTTTTATCACTAATGCGTGAAAACAGTAATGTGCATATATTCGTGAACTGGTATTCATCTAGCACTTTGGAAAGACTGGTATTTACCATTAAAACTATTTATACAGCTGGAGGAACACCAACTGAATTCTGTATGATGCTCCAGCAACATGTCCTATCAAAACCAGTTGCTTCTTGAATTTATCTTGCCTAAGCAACAAATGCCATTTAGGGACAAACAATTTCATTCAGAATAACTGCACTAACAAAAACATTCAAGAACTCCTAAGTTCCCTCAGCTGGTCTTCAGCTCTCCCCAGTTGCCACTTTTTGTTCCCAGAGTACAATCCCCCGACAGGATCTAGGTTTGTTCTGTGGTCCTGGCCACTTTTCCTTTCTTTACATTTTCTTCAGAGTGGTCACGCTTCATCTTCATTTCCATTGGATCGTCTGCATCATCTATGACAAAAAGGAAACAAGAACTAAAATTTGCACTTTCTCCGAGTTCAGTGCTACAGCCAACAACAACATAGCAGGCAAAGTGACAAGGCACACAAGGAAAAGTGTGTGGGATTTGAGTCCAAAAAATGAGAAATGAGTCATCATTTCCATATCTCCAAGAGCAACCAGGGCAACATTTACTTCCCTTCACCACAGGGTTTGAGAGAGAACTGCCAGCATAAGCTAGTTCTATCTGTAGCACTCTACAACCTGCAGGATATAATAACACGCACAAAATTAGGAACAAGTAGCTCCATCTGGCCATGCAAAATAATGCAGGAGTACTTGGGACTCCCATCAGCTGCTGCACGATGGATTTCTGTAACGCATGTGAGGTTGCTACGGCCTTACTGTTTAATACAAAAACACTGTTTCCACTTCTCGCATGGGACTCTTCCAAGGCAAAGAGCTCAAAGAGTCTAGGTTTTCGGATTTTCTGCTATTGGAAATATCTAATCAATTTTGGTCAGCCTGAGCATTTCAGCCTTATCTGGTAACTACTGGCTTGCTCTACAGATGCTTAAACCATTTAGAAATTAAGGTCAAAAGGTAAAGGTCTTGACTCCCTTCTCTCAAAGACTTTTCGCTCATTTGTGGACAATAGGAATCTCAAATATCTCTTGTCACAGAGCCGAGAAGACTGTCATAAAACGGGAAGGAATGAAGGAGCTATGCCTAGCAAAACTGGGGCTTGGGAATCACGTGCATGCAGACCAAGGGAAGTTCTGTGTTGTAGAGAAGGTCTGTTTCTGGCAAAGTGTTTCTCTAGCAGGTAGAAGCCAGCTGCCATCCTACAAGAGCTAAAAGAAAAGGGACACTGATCCCTCTGGGTGTCCGAAGGAAAAAATGTTCCAACTCATAACTAGAGTGACAGGAAATAACTTGTTTGGAACCAAGTCCCAGAAGACAAAACCAAGCCCAAATCCATCAGTTTTCCAAAGAAGGCCTCTGCACTGCAGCACACTGGACACGCAGTGCTGCAGCACCTCTTACCTCTCGTGAGTTGGGCTGTTCTGTACTGCTCCTCTCTGACCTGTTTCATCAGCAGCAGGTTGTGATCGCTGACTTCCTTGTGGTTCACCATTGGGAAGGGGTAATCTTGACCTGATACAACAAACAGGCAGTGGTGATTGCAGCACAAGTCGGTGCCACTTCACTGATCTTGCACCAGAGCAAGAAAGCAGCTTTTTCTAAAATATGAGGTATCCAAGATGGGCATTTCTGCAGGGTGAGCCACACTGCCTGTCTCTCTCCATGAGCTGTAAGAGCCGGGAGGTCCAAGTAGCTCCCATTTAGACATGAAGACAAATCCCTACATTAGATGCTCTAGGCCTTGGTTTCCCATCCATTCACAAGGATGAGAGTCCTGCCCTCTCCTCAAAGAGGCATTAGAATAAGCCTGAAAGCACAAGGTACTCGAACACTATTTACAGACAGCCAGTGTCCAAGACAGAACAATGCAAAGCCAACAACTTGGAGTGATAAAATAGGCTTAGAACATGAAGTAGAAGCAAGAGAGATCAGACTCCAGTAAACAACGTTAGAGGAGAATTGATGGAAGCTAGACTGTTGGATAAATCCACTTTAGAAGATAAACGGATTACTCACTGGAAGCATGTAGCTTCCACTTGTATATACTTATATCTCATGTATATACTTATTTCGGACAGCTGTCAGGAGCTGAAGTATTTACATGCTGTCAAAGTTACCTATGATACATCCTGCTTCCTTCTGCTCCTCTTCAGAGGCTGTCCAGGGTTCATAAATGTATTTGGAAGGAAACTTCTTTAGTATAGGCAGGTACTTCCTACAAAATAGGAATAATACAGTGTTTTCTTTCCACAACCCTGTAGACAAGTATTAATGTATTTAAGAGAAGTATAAACCAAAGTCATGTTTACTCCTGATTGTCATATCAATACTACAATTAATGGTAAAGTTTTAATTAATTTTGCAAAAATAAACTATTTTTCTGTTCTGAAATCTCATAGTAATACCTTCCAAAAGTTAACTTTACAACAAAGAATAAAGCAGTTGATTTAAATATTGTTTCAACTTGGACTGTACCTTTTTTCTTGGTTTTCCACATTTTCACTGTCATTTTGTCCTAAAGTTTCTTAAATTTCAAAAACAAAATCCAAACTCTTACAGAGTGGGAGTCATTTCCTACCCAACTCTGTCAGCATGGGCTTCATCTGAACAGGAGGAACAGCTAGATGCACCATGAGGGGGAGGAGACCAGGGGAAAGGAGTTATTTCCTCAGACAGACATCAAGACATCCTACTCCTGTGGAAGTTAGGCTGTAAAACCACCCACTAATTATGAGCAAGGCTAATCGGTACCTTTACCGCAACAAGGAGATAATGGCAGTAATTCCATAGATAACCCGTTTGATCAATAGACATCAGCTACATCTCGAAGAGACTAATGTTATTTCCATTCTAAAAATAAGGACACCAAGGCTTAGAAGTGAATGTGACTCACTGAAAGCAGAGTGGGAAATAAAACCCACGCTTCTCTTAAGTGAGAAACAACTGGAGCAGGGGGAACTGTGAAAATCTTTGCAGAAGTTGTCTAGGAAAAGAGGTCGGCCAGCGACTGAACATGGGGCAGGAGGCAACGGACGCTCACGAACCGACACAATTCCCCTCCAAGTTGTCACGTGCGCGACCACAGGTTTGTCTGTTCACCTGTTCCTTGGCCTGTTTCCTTACGCGTTAAGCGGACCGTGGCTACGACCCGTGTTCCACAAGGGCTTGTGCTACATGTTGACGAGTTTCTCTGCTCGGGCTGCAGGAGGGAAGCGCTACCGGAGCGGACGGCGCCACCGGAGCGGACGGTGCCGCAGATCTCCCTACCGGATGTAGTGCCCCTGCGGGTCCGTGCGCTTCCCAAACCGCACGGGACAGAAGATGCGCCTGTACTGGTGGAAGAACGCGCTGGCCGACAGCCACATCCAGTTCCCCGCATTGATGCTGTAGTCAGCATCTAAAAGCATCTCTTCAAACACCTGCATTTTGGGGACAGGAAGAGGAGAGAGAAAAAAAAATGAAATGGCTCCTTATGTGGCCAAAAGACAGGCTGGGAGATGAAGGATGGAGGTTGCTGCTAAAAGGACAGCAGGCACTGGGCTGAGCTACCCCTGTCACACAAGGAACTCTCTCCAAATCTCTCCAGTTTTCCAAGAGGAAGTCAAGGAGGACACAAGGAAGCCATATTCCAAAGGTCTGGCTCTGACACCTGCTCTGGACAGTGCAGGTCTCTGGCATCACTGTCATCCAAGAGCATTGGGCCTTAGGGATGGGAATGACCTCTCACCACTGCGTCCAGCACTGCAGAGCTTCCATTTCAGTGAAGGACTTTGAAGTAACAGTTTTATAAACCATGAGATTTCTAGGGAGGAACAGTGACATATCATTATTCTACAGTGCTGCTTCCTACAGCCAAATTCACATTTTTGCAGGGATTTCTCATAACCAGCCAGAGTAGAGAATTACATAATGAAAAAGGTGATTGGGGAAGCAAGCAAACAAAAAAAAAGAAAAAAAAGAGAGAGCAGATGGGAACCTTCATGCCCTCTTCCCAGCTGATCCACAGGTCCCCTCGGGTCAGGAAGCAGGCAGCAGCATGCCGAGCAAGGTGGTGAATCCAGCCTTCCTGGCGCAGCTGGGTCATAATTGCGTCAATCCATGGAAACCCCGTCTGAGCCTGAGATGGGAGAGAAACATCAGCCTTCCAGCACCGGGCTTTGTTGCACCAGTTCCCCACACACTGCTCTAAGTCCCGTCTCAAGAGGCCAGCACGGAAGAATCCCGGGTAATGGAAAAGCTCCAAACCAAACCATAGCAGCTGGGGCCATGCAGTTTGTTACCGTTTTCCATCTGTGGAGCCTCTCTGCATCCTCATACCAGTTGATCTGAAGGCAAATGGGGTTCCCAACCATTTTGGTGAAGTTTGGTGTTGCTGATGCCACCGTGTAGAAGAATTCCCTCCACAGAAGCTGTCCTTGGAGTGACACCGGAGGCAGAGAATGATGTTTGGACTGCAAAAGATGCATCAGAGCACCAGTCCAGGCATATCATTGCACTTCCACTTATTTTGTACATACCAAACCCATAAAATAAAGATGAATAATGACACCACAGGCTTTACAGCACTTCAGCACGAAAGCCAAAGAACCCAAGATGTGAGGCAATACTTTCTGCACCAAAAACAAGGGAATCTGAGCTCACTAGACTCAGTATTTCCTCAAGTGCTCTCAATCCAGCTTTCAGTGCAGAATCACACTGCAGTGTTTTGAGACCCAACATACATTTATCAACATGCAAACTGCTCGGCTAGCTGAATTCAGGTGTCTCAGCCCCATCTCAGATACCCCTGGGTTGGTTCCAAACATATTTTCTTCTTAAGAATCAAGATTTCAGAATATGATGTCAGCTTGTGCTACAGTTAAAAGATTTAAGATGAAAACACACAGTCTAAAAACTCATTAAACACCAGGCTGACACTTTAAAATGCTTTTATTTTAGCTCAGCTTTCCTGAGATTCCCTGCTGTTTCCAGCTGTCATTGTTGCCTATTTTTCATATTTCTAGAACTTAATTAAGAAAAGCCTTACACAATTATAGGTGTTTCACAAAACCTATAAAGGTACTTCACAGATTTTTTTAGGACACGGTGAGAAAACATTAGTAGAGCAGCATTTTTGTTTGCAGTAGGTATCCACCTGCTGCACTCAAATTATTTCAGTGTTAAATCCCAGCATCACATCATGCCAGACATGTAGGAGCATTGTATTTGCTTGACTCTAGTCAAATGTTTGCTTACCTGAGCATAAATGTTTGACAACCTATAAAAAAAGGTGCGAACCGACAGACAGCCCAAACTGAAATATGGGCTCAGGCCTGTGGTGCTTGGAAGAAGGGAATTTGGAATCGTTCGTGGCTTAGTGAAACTTGCCACCCAGCCCTAAAACAAAAAGAGAAATACAGGGTTTAAGCAGTGCAAAGTGATACACATCCAGCAATAAAACAGGGAAAAGCTCCCAGCTATCGGCTTCTTCAATGCCACATATGGAAAACAGCCCTATCGCCTAGGCCTCCAACAAACATTGTCCTCAAGGATAACAAAATCTTGAGGCCAGGTTGCCATCCTCTTCTAAATATTCCAAAGGCTCTTCAAAGGATTCCAAAGGATCTCCAACAAGCTCAGCCTCCTCCAAGCCCAGCTTCAAGGCTGTGTCCCACGGTCTGCGTGTGCTGGAAAGCTCTGTGTTCCCCAGCGAGCTGGGTGATTTTGTGTGACAGGAAATAGCTCTCCAGGTACAAGAGCACCACCTCAAGATATTTTACACTTTATTAAATTAGGAGCAGGTAAAATGCCAGCTTCAAAACTGCCATCGCCAAGGCGGGTCTGGCCTGTCAGGAGCTGAGCCCTGGCAGGGAAAACCAGAGATGGAGCAGAGGACAGCGGGGCCAAGTGGCTTCTTGCGGTCAATGCAGCCACAAGCAGGAGGGAGTCTGACACTAACTGGAATCAGCCTGGAGCCACTAGCTTCACACACAACATCAGGACTGACCTGGTTCATCAAGTGCTGCTCCAGGCGCTGCAGCCCTTCAGTCTCCCCTCCTTTCCAGGGGGAGAGGCTCTCCGTGGGGATCTTCAAATCCACAGGGAGAGGCACTCTGTAATGCTCAGCCAGGCACAGGTCAGGGGGCCTACATCTCCTAATGTGAAAGAGAAGCTTCTTTCAAAGAGGGAAGCAGAGCCAAAAGGGGGAGCAGACCCCTGCCCACTCCACATGCCGAGGGGATCTCGGTCACAGCACACTCAGAGGAAAGCGGAGCACAAGCAGAGCCAGAAACCCCAGGAACTTTCCTTGGGGAAGAGCGAGCTCTTTCTGTGACTACTCCAGGCAAGCAGGAATCAAAACAGACCTTCCAAGACACCTGGGTCCAGGCCAAGCGGGCCAAGAAAAGTTGTGGCATGAAAGGCCGCAGCACCGAATTGGGCCCTAGCCTAAACTGGAGCAAGAGGAACAACCCAGGGAGGCGCCTGTGCAGACTGGGCCTCCACAGCTCAAACCTGCCTCTGGCTTCTCATCAGCCACGTCAGGCGGGAGCTGGGAGGCCCCTTCTTTCCAGCTTCCCACAACTGCCACCTCGTGTGTGAGAGCTGAGAGGCCCCTCCGACTCGTGACATAAACACGGGGCACGAGCGCTGCCCCCAAGGGCCTGTCCCCCTCCAGCCCTGTGTCTGTGGGGAGAGGTGGCGCTGGCAGAGGCTTCGCAGCGCACACAGCAGAGCAGCTCCCCGTGCCACCATCCCAGCTGCTTCTTCCTAGCTGAGGCAGCTGCTCTCCTGGCCCCAGCCAGTGGCTTCCTGCTCTCCTGCGCCTGTGGCTTGGAGCAGTCCCCTCACTTCTCTTCTGCAGCCACAGCTGCTGAGGCTTCTCCAAGGCCCCTGCCCCCTGTGAGGCTACCAGGGCACCAAAGTGCAATTTTCCCCCTGCAAAAGACAGAAGAGAAAAAGAGGGTTGGGAGAGTTTTGGCAGCATCCCAACTTCTCAGCAAGAGATCAGGACAAACAGAAATCTTTCTACCCACCTGGAAAAACTGAGCTCAGCTCTGGTGCAGACACCTACAGAGGAAGGGACCAGTGCAGCTCTCGCAGCACTGGCCTGCCAGGAAGCACACTTATCTCTCATCATCAGTTAAAAAAAATAAAATTAAATTTTAAAGTGTGGGAATACACAAATTAGGAAAAAAAAAAAAAGTGCAAGAAATTCCAGAAACTGATCTATCCCAATCCTTGCAGGATCTTATTGCTCAACTGTCCTGCCCCAATATTTCGTCCCGTGGAATCACTAACCCCTCCTCATGCCGGGCTAAAAATAGACCATCCTCGACTTAGAGCTTCGAGTCCTGAGAGACACGAGCTTGGTCCATCCTTCCCACACCAGAGAGGGGAGGAGAGAAGACAAAGCTGGAAAGGAACAGCATAATTATCCCACCGAACTTCCCACATAGAGCAAACCACCCAAGTCCTGCCTTGAACCTGGGATTCGTCGCGGGGCTAGAGAAAGGGACCCATGATCCTTTAGCCAGCCCTCTGTTAAACTTCTACGTAGCTGTAAAAGTTTGTCTAAATGTGCCTCACAAAAGCTGAAGTTTTTGGACATTGTCACCTCTCATCTGCTCTGCCCTCCCGCTAACAGAAGCCTAAAGGATAAGCGTCATATTCCCTATGTGTATAAATCTATAACCCCCCCATGCATAAAAATAATGCAGCGTAACATCGAAAGCACACAATTATCATTTAGCTAGAGCTCTTCTTGCGGAAGGGAGAAGGCCTGCTATCCCTGCTGGCTCGGTGTTACTCACTGGAAGTCTTCAGCTGCAAGGTTTCGGACCGGCACCTCGGGGTCCCCAAGCAGAGAGAGAACGTGGAGAAACCGCTTGTACGTTAATGGGGGAGTCCCACCGTTCAGGTCCAAAATCCTGAATAAAACAACATCGTTTTTCACAATAACATAGACTAAGAGGGAGACTGGAACTGTCAGTGAATAGGAAGGCAGCAGTACAGGCTGGAACAGCCCCAGTTTGTAGGTGTGAATACAGAAGTGATGGATTTTTATTTGTTCAGTTACAAGAATTAGAAACTTTCCAGGACTGCAGTGTTCAGATTGCTTGAATTATTACTGATTTACCTTCCAATTATTCTTAATTTGTGCCTTCAGTCATTTGGGTCTGAATAGCATCTAAACAATGAAGTTGTTTAGAAAGATCAAAGCAAAGAACATACAAACACATACAGACACAAAATCATATAAAATCCTGTTAAATGTGTAGGAGAATTGCTTTCCTTCACTCTGCTTAAAGGAGTGGCTAATGTAAGGATTTGATGTGATTTAAAGTGTCAAAATGGGGAAAAAAAAGTCAATGAACTCCTTATGTTCAAACCACAAACCAACATCCTAACATGCACCAAAACTACTCACATTTGCTTGCAGCAGAGCAACACAACAAAGTTCTCCTTCAAGCAGTACCAGGCTTATCTGAAAACTGTACCCTGTTTTCTCCAAAGCAACACCTGAGTATCTAGAAGAACCAAAACAGTTGCCTTTTTCTGCCTGATAGTTGTTAAATCTACAATAAACCTTCAAGACACCTCCTTGGTGCCGGGGCAATCACGTACCGTTGGGCATCATAAAGACTGTGGCTGATCAAAGAAAGCACTTTGAATCCCAACTCTTCCCCTAGACTTCGTATTTTGGCCTCCATCTCTTTGTAAAACGGCTCCACCTCCGCATCCAGAGTCACCTGCGTGATGTTCCACTTCTTGACATGATCTCGAAGGACAGACTCGTACTCTCCTTGAATAACCAGTAAGCAAGAGCCCAGCTGTAACAAGTTTTTTTGCAGATTCTCCAGGGATTGCAGCAGAAAATGCCAGCGCAGAGCCCCTATGTTCATCACGGACGTCATGAAGGGCCTGTCCAGGATGTAGATGGGGTACACGGCCTCCGAGGACTCCAGCGCAGCCAGCAGCGTGGGGTTGTCGTGAAGCCGAAGCCCCTTGCGGAAAAGGTGGATGGTGCGATGAGGCATCCCGGGATCTGTCAAAAGAGAAGGGGAACCGTGGTCTTTTGGGATTCCCAATCTCCATTAAAGACCAAGGCAATTAATCTTTAGAAACAGAGCTCTGAGCAACACTCAGACCTTCCCATGGGAAGTCTGTTCTGTAGTAAACTTTCATGAGAGAAGAAAGCAGAAACGGGCCCAAGCTGCTCCTCTCCAGCACACACCTACCCACCAGCTCCCGTCATTCAGGAGCTCTCCTCACCCTGTAGCAGGGCTGCATGGCAATAACTGCGCAAAACCACCCCCTACTCTAACACCAAAGCTGAGGGGAGGCCTAGCCCCCACTCATGTCCCTTTGAACTACTTCAGCAGAGCTCAAGGAACTTGCAGGAGGCCCCAGCTCAGCTCTCAGAGCTGCCCCACCGCTGCCCATGGGGCGACAGAGTCAGCGCAAGGAGCAGCCACGACCAGCACCTCGGCCTTGGGCCTGCAACACCTTCCCGGCCTGCTCCTTCCACCGCCTCCCCACGGCCACGCGCAAGGAGGGAAGCTCCTTGCCCAGCAACAAGGTGGTCTTTCCAGCAATACAAGGAGAAGAGATTAGATTAGCGCGGAAGCACGCAGTATTCCACAGCCAACCTGCTCTGCTCGCCAACTAGGCGACCACGCGCTTGCTCAGCCCACAGCCAGGAGCTTGACCGGCCCCACAGAAGGTGGTTTGGGCTCTGCGCCAAGTCTCGTTTCCCGCACTGAAGCCAACAGGGAGGAGACCCTGGCACCTCCCTGCCAGCTCCTGGCGGAAGGACAGGAAAAACGAGGCGGCTTCTCCCGCTGCCTGGCACCCTGCTGGCGTTTTGGGCTTGCTGATCACAGCGAGAGCCCCCAGATGGTCCCCACGTCCATGAAATTGTCCCAACGCGGATTCTGGAGTTCCTGCACACAGCCTATGGGCCCGCTGCCAGGACAGGGCCCTGGGTGGGTCTGCAGGGTCATCCCACGCACAGGGTGCCAGGGCCCCGTGTAGCCCATGGGCCACCACCAGCAGGAGCAGCCAGGGCCCGGGGGGCAGTTCTGGGGGCTCCTCATGCACAGGGTAACGGGAGACCCCCTGGGCTGGGTTGACAGAGGGGGACCTGGAGGAGCCACCCCCAGGCTGGGATTTATCCCTTTTATCTTGACATGGAGGCTGCTCCCCCAGCCCACGTTACCTCTGGGAATGGGAAATCAGCAAATGCACCCGGCGCCCCGCTCCTCTCCGAGCTGCAGGACTCGGTCTCACCGTGGGGGTCACCGGGCCCTGGTGACGGCTCCGCCGGGGGAAGGAGCCCCCACGACGGCTCCCGCCGGGCAGCGCTTCCCCTGCTCCCGGCGGCGGCGGGAACGCGGGGACAGGCGGGGACACGCCTGGAGAGCGGCACATTGGCACGCGTCGACACACGGGGCTCAGCGTCAGGGGCGACCGAGGGTTTCATGCTGCAGGAGGAGGAGGAGAATGAAGAGGAGCCCAAGGAGCTCCCAACCGCCTGCACAGCCCAGGCTGCCCCAGGAAGGAGAACTCCAAGGGCCGCAGTCCTCTCTGCAGCCGCGCTCCCGTTTATCCCATCGAGGCATAGCCTGCTGGCTGAGGAAGCAGCGGTGACATCCTGGCAGGGGTGTCACCCAACTGGCACGTCACCCAGGCACGTTGTGCACCGGCTCCGCACACGGTGCTTGGGGGCCCCCGAGGTGAAATCACCGTCACTGCGGAGCGGCTGAGCGGCGCTGCGAGCCCAAAACGCGCGTTATTCCCGCACCGGCCCCACTGCGGAACCCGGTGCAGACAGGATGGAGCCGAGGGCAGCTCTGCTCGACCTCCCCGGAGCAGCGCGGGACGCGCGCGGGGACCCGGGGACCCCGGCCCCGCGGCCGCTGCCCGCGTTACCTCCTCGCTCCGGCCCC